TTCTAAACACTTACTAAGTACCTTTAATACCAAATAACATTACTATTGTCCTGTATATTATTTGTCTTGTTTACAATAAGTCTTTGCAATCATTTGGTTCATCCCTACAGACTGAGGAGGACAAAAAGAATCTGACTCGACTTCAGGACCTGGTGGACAAGCTGCAGCTCAAAGTGAAGGCTTACAAGAGACAGGCTGAGGAGGCGGTAAGTGGTCATCTGTCATCCAACAAATAATGTCTCCTTTAAGGTAGAACATTGCAAAGCATTCATTTTACATTTATGTGAACTAAATGACTGTCATCTCAAAACTCTCAGGAGGAGCAGGCCAACACCCACATGTCCAGGCTCAGGAAGGTCCAGCATGAGATGGAGGAAGCTCAGGAGCGTGCTGACATCGCTGAGTCTCAGGTCAACAAGCTCAGAGCCAAGAGCCGTGATGCTGGAAAGGTAGCATATTCCTTCCCATTTCCCTTCTTAATATACTACAAAACCTAATGCAATGTAGAATTAAAAAAAAATCTTCTACATAAAATCAAATTGTATGTGTTAAACTTTGCATGACAATCAATATGTGTCAGGATGTAGTGAAACTTCATGTTTTCTTTATGACCTCCATCAGCTCTTCAGCCATTTAATGTCCATTTTCCTTTTCCTTCCTTGTTTTTCAGAGCGATTCTGCTGAATGAGAGACCAGACCTTCATGAAGTTTTTCAACAGAGTTCATAAAATATGAACCAACTGTTGAATTCTTTTTCCATTGTAATACTTAAATAAAAACTAAGCACTATCATGTTATGTATTGGAGTGTATTTCTTGACATAAAAAACAACAGCAAATGAAAACTAAAAAGGTTTTTTTCTCAGGAGTAACATGTTCAAAAAATATTTTTGGTCACTCGGGAGTCAATATAACAGGACTGTAATTAAGCAAAACTTTATGCTGCATAATTGCAGCATAAAGTTTAGAACATTATAGTACTAAATGAAAGATGAGTACAACTCAGTTTACTTGTACTTTGTAGAACATAAATTATCAATTGTCATTCACTAAATTTCAAATTTAGTGCAAAATATTAATGTATCTGTTAAAAATAATGAATAAAAAATTAATAATAATAGAGCAAATAATTGGCTCAAGGAATTGTTGCAGAGTATGTCCTGAACAATGCTGTTGTGTGTGCATGTGTCTCTGTGTATTTATGATATCAAGCACTTTGAAACCTTCTGTTGCCCAAAGGTGAAATACAAGTAAATCTTGATTTTATTTTATTTTGATTTGCTGTTGGACAATACTCTCAGTTAATTACACATTAGAACCATTTTAATAATTGACAATATGTCATTATAACACAGTGAGTGGAATTTGGCTAACAGGACAATATAGCTCAATATGACTTTTCTCAGGACAATATAAATGGCAATAATTTATATTTTATATTTATATTTTTTCTTTTTTTTCCCATATTTTTATTATAAAGTATTGTCCTACATATCAGCATGTTCTACAGGCAATAAAATCATCTAAACTAACTGAAGCCTCTGCCATGCTAATGTTTTATTTTATGGTATTGCTTATTGAGTCAGTGAATGCCTGGAAAAGTGAGACACTGTTCTGGAATGACAATTGGCTTATCATAATCCAATAGTCATTGTAGGACTTCAGCTACTGGACTTCTGGCTGCTTGATGGCTTAAGTGCTCTGAGAGTTAAGCAATGTGGAAGTCACAATAATTCAATGGGAATCCCAACTGTGCTCTAAATTTACGACCAGATCTTGTTGCCAACAGAGCCCATTCATACAGTGTTGACTGGTTTATTTGAAAAGCAGCCTGGCCCACATCAAAGGTCATGTCAGCCACATACAAGTCATGGCCCAAGTGTTGTAAACTGATATGAATATTGTCAGTTAAACATCATTCTTTTTTCTTTTCTCCTTTCAGTCTGATGCTGCTGAGTAAGAAAAAATATCTGAAGGACCTCTCAATAGACTCATAAAATATGAAAATTCTGTTGTAACGTTTGCAAAATAAAGTATTTTATTCACCTTGCTTTTGTTTTTTGTTTTTAAAACAAACCTATGCTAAATTTGGGCCGAATGAGGAACTTTTGCTCCATCTTTAGAGCTCTTCTTTTTAAGTAATTGATTGGTTTTTTTCTTTCAACATAAAACCACTCCTATGACTTAAGCATTTTGAAGAATGCATTAAAAGGCGCTTGACAAAATTTAAGATGGCAATAATTATCCCTGCTGTCAATGAAGACTTGTTTCAATTTCCAGAACATGTTCATGGCACTGCAAGAAGCACAGCGGTAGTCAGTTGCTGGACTCATTTAGATAAACACTTCAAACGAAGAAGTCATGGATCAGTTTGCCAAGATATTTTAGGCATTGGCTTAAGCACTCTTAAACACAACTGTTGAAGAGAGACCATCAAAGCATTTGGATTACAGGCAATTTCAGCCTTAGCCAGTATCATGTAACAGTGGTTGCCCTTTCTTCCAGAACACCATTCTGGGCACATTCAATATAACCCTAATTGAATTACTTTGCTAAGTTCTGCATAACAGCAAAGGCTATGAGAAATATTAGCAGTATATCTCTGGATAGTTCAATTTATGAAAGCAATGCAATTTCTGACATCATAAAACTATATTCAATCCTATAACATGCACTGCATATTGTAAAAAAAAATGCAAAAAAAAAAAAAAAACTACAGATAAGATTATGGTAAAGTGAAAAATATTTTTGCTTTAATATAGCAACGAGCTGCAGGCTAGGAATTTGTCAGGTCTAAAAGAGGTTTCCTCAGGTTCTCAGTGTTCCTGTCAAAGTGAAATTTAACACTTTCTTCCCTGGCTCCTCTTCAGAAGACATGTTTCTGATATTTTATTGCAGTTTAACACCTTGGTGCACAAGGTCATTCTTAAAAATATCATGTGAAAAAGTTACTCAGAACCATCTGTTTATTCCCATCTGCACTTTAAAGAACAAATGCTTGTGTCTTCACCTGCATTATGACATGCTAACTAAGAGAATTATTCAAATTATATTAATTTAAGTCAAGGATATAAGACTCGGAAAAAAAAAAAACTAACCACCTATTTTTAAATTTTTGGCAAATATTTTATTAAATATCATATGGAACATATATTTTTTGATACATAAAAACGATTTATTATTTTTTTGTTATGGCAGATCCATTTCTATCATTGTCCAGTTATGTATTGAAATGGCACTGATGATATTTTCTGATTTTTAGGTAAAATACTATATCACAAAAGACAACTTTAGTTCAGTCTATCCTAAATGCACATTAAAGTAAGCATAAAAGAGTGGCTTATTTTTTGGAGTTATTTTTAATTGGTTTTTACTGTCCTATCTTTGCATTCAGTCATCATTCATGATACTGTTACAACTGCAGCATCTTAAAAATCTTGTGTACTGGCACAACTCTTATTTTGGGTGTCAGCCCAACCTAGAAGGCAACTGTTCTTCCTCTCCATTCCGAGATGATACATTATCCTTCCTCAACTTGTATGGAATGGGTTGCAGGCCTATTTCATTTCAGACAGCTGAAAGATTTACATCCACTGCAACTGTATAGCCGTGACATTTGAATGGTCCCCTAAAATCTCAACCTGGACAGTGGTACATTAAATTAGCTATTTATCCTCACTGAAGAGGATTAAGCCAGACAGACTTCTGATTGAGACATTTAGGTGACAGTGTGTTAATGAAACATCCTAAATCCATTCATCCATTTTCCAGACCTGCTTTGTCCTGTCACAGTCACAGGGCGGGTGCGCCCATAGCAACTGTCATCGGGTGACAGGTCAAAATAGTATCACAGAAGGCACAAATCTATCAATACACACTTCCATACTTAAGGTTAATGGAGTCTCTACTTAACCTTATGCGGATGTTTTTGGATAGAGAGGAAAATAGAGTATGCAAAGAAAACTAGTGCTGGAAAACTTCTTTCAGAAAACCATGAAGGCCTAAAACAATGAACGATTTGTCACTGGGATAACAGGAAAGAACATGACTCGTACCCTTATTTTCTCTTGAATAAATGCATTCTCAGAGATTATATTACAATAAGTGTGAATTTATATTAATATAACTTTTTTCACTTTTGAAAAATTATATGTCTTGGCTATTTTTTTTCTAAGCCACTGAATAAATTATCTTAAAACACACACTGCAAAGACCATCTGACATATGTGAACTTTTAACATAAACAGGCAACAACTAGCAAACTACAAGTGAAAATTTTACATATTTGTAGATGTAGATGTTATTCCAGACTGAATAAACTTGCTAGTCTTGCTAAAAAGCAAGAGACATTAAAAACATTCAACATTGAGATTACTCAGCTTAATGAGTGATCTTGTGTAATTCAAATAAATTATAAAACACACAGATCCTTAAACATCACAACATATCTATTTTCACACTTTTGTCATTAGGCCCTCTTTACTTTCACCAACCATTACAGATATATAATGTGAAACCGATGCTGTGGAGGTATACGCAAAGGGTGGAAAGAATCCCATCAACTATTTTTAGCTCAATTTTTGGAAACTCTTTCTGAGAAACTTTGCCCCCACCACAAAGCAACGACTTCTCAGAAAATGTTACTCAGAAAAGTAGTATTTTCAGCATTTTGTAGTTAAATTTGGTTTATTTCATTTAAAAAGAACATGAAGGGATAAGTCAGGAGGAAAAGTGGCAGCACCTGTAAATTATCTGGAAAGTTTAACTCTAAATGTAGTTACTAAGTGCTTTGTGAACTTCTGAATTTGATAAAGCCCTAGTCAAGTACAGATTAGTACATTCAAAATTTGGTCCATCAAAATTATAATGCAAGTAAAATTCACTATAATATCATCATTATTTTCACTGAAATATAATCACAAATCACTTATTTTGCACAACTGTGACAAATTGTTCACTTATTTCAGCCAACCAAAATATACCAAGCTTATTTTCATCACAGAAGTTTTCATTTATTTTATTTCATTTAGGTATTTAACTTTCAACAAATGGTTCAACATGTCACAACTGTTTTTATTCCTTTAGTATACAGAAAAGGAAAATTTACTTTTTACAGTGCAAATATGGCAGAAAAACTGATTTCTACACTATACCTCAAAAGACAAGCTAAAGCAAACATATAGACCTATATACTTTATATAAATCTTTAATTCCAAATATTTTTATTAAAATCTGTATTTAAAAAAAAATGAGAAAGATTTTAATGGTTCTAGTGACTTTTATTTGATAGTAAATTGACAGTACAGTAGGTAATGAGAGAAAGGGGAAGACATGTGGCAAAGGACACCAGGCCGGGAATCGGACTTGAAACAGTCATGCCGAGAACCAAGGCCCCCATATGTAGGTTGTGCTTAACCCCTGCGCCATCACAGCACCCCTAAAATCAATAATTCAATTTAATCAACAGAGGCTTATAAATTATTTGACTATTTCAAGACAAAGCAAACAAAAAAAACATTCTAGTGATGCTGTGGTGGCACAAGGGGCAAAGCATGACCCACGTGGAGGCCTTAATCCTCGTGGCAGTAGTCGCAGGCTGGATTCCCAGACTGGCGACATTTGCCGCATGTATTTCCTCTCTCTCATTACCGTCTTTCCTGTTGAACTATTTTCAAATAAAGGCCACTAATGTCAACAAAACTTTGAAAAAAAAAACAACCTAAATTCTAAGTCTAACTTTTTTCTGACATTTTATATTTAACTATTATGTTTATGTACAGATAATATACAATGAGACTTATTTATTATCTTTCTTTCCAACTCCCTTTCCCTGCTCTACTCTCTCTCTTCCTTTTTTATGAATCCCTTGACATTTCTCTCGTCCTAAATCTGTCCCTGTGTGCATCTGGGCAGGGTTTATATTCTTTTTCATAAAGAAGCATTCTTTATTTGGGCTGACAGAACAGGTCAAAAGTTTATCTTTCTGATTTGGGCCTATAGTTACAGGATGTCCTTGTTCCCGGTAGGGAGATGATGGCCGTGAGTTCACTTTCCTTGGACTTCCCGTTCTTGGAGAGTTATGCCTAGATTTAACATCTTTTTTGGGGACAAGGTTTAAGTCCAAAGATAGTGGTCTGCCAAATACTGGACTAAGAGGAATCACAACATTCTCTCCTGGAGCACCAAGAGTAAGAAAGACTTCTGGTACTTGATAGTCATTCTTCATTCCCTGAAACAGAAAAAAAGACAAAGAAATGCTTCAGGATTTTTTTTAAAACAATTTGTGCAAACTCAAAACATTCATGGTCTGTGATAGCACTTACTGGCTGTGGTGGTGTCACACTCAGTGATACTTTCAATGTCATCTATTGGAGAAAGCAAAAACATCAACACAAAAATAATTAGGTGAAATTCATTCTGCCATGAACTCATTCGCCGCATCCCTTCAAGGATTCCACATGTGAATGTACTTCATTGAAAATACTCAGAGCTGTATTCCCCCAGATGGGAGTATATCAGAAATTCCATAGGAATTTGGACTAGTTTATATGATAAATGTCTATCACTCTATACTTCTAGAGAAATTATAATGAAGTTGTATCTCCAGTTTTGTTTCTACCTGTGCTTGAGAGTTTTGATTCATCCTGAATTCAGTCTCAGGGGTAAATGAAGCAGACTTTGGTAAGGCCAAGGTAGAGCTTGAATCTGCATCAAAAATTTGGGGCTGAGAGGAACTTCTGCGAAAGGACTTCCTTGATGTAGCAGGTGTTCCTTCATTCACAATAATATATGTTGGTGATGCCTAGAGAAAGAAATACATTTCATAAATGTCTAGTCGTATACTGTACCATTAGAGCATTAGTTTATAGACACTGCTAAATACAGTTTTTTTTAACATAATAGGTCAATATGTTTCTTTACATTAAAAATTGATGGAATACAAATTTTTTATATCCAAAGAAATCTGTAAATTCTAAATGTATAGCTATAAAAGCTGAGCTATTAAATTTTGCGAAACAAAAACAAATAAACCGCAAGTTTCAATTAGCAGCCTTTGCCAATTTTCAGTTTGTTACCTATCCGATCATTTATACTCACGTTTTTCTTTGCTTCAGATATTCGACTTGTTCCTGGAGAATGTTGATCTTGTAGCCTGACTGCTTGACTGGAGTTCTTACTGTTGACGAATGCGATAGGTTTTGACCCTATTGAGAATATTTAAGTTATTTCTGACATCTCAAAGACAGAATTAAATTTGAAATATTTTGTCCTGTGTGTTTTTCTTACCCATGAGCCCATTATTCAAAGGGCCGCCATTGTGCACTTGAGTGGCGGCTGTACTTCGGCAAGGTTGTAAATAGCATCGTTGGTCTTCCATTCGACCGTTTTGAGAATGTGTTATCATATCAAAAAAAGGCTCCTGCTCAGCTGCAGATAAATCCTACATTAGGAAAAGATAAGAAAAAGCATAGGCATCTTATCTGACCTCTGATCTGTTGCTGTCAACAGATCAGAGATCTGATCTATTTTTGACATTGCTTCAGAACAAAATATGGATTTATTCCTAAAATTATAAGCAGCATATTTTACAAAAAGTTCCCTTACCTGCCAATGTTGAGGAGCATTAAAGACAGCTGTACTCTCAGGAGGTTTATCAGATGCATCATTTATGAGATTTCTGTGCTCAGTCGATGGGTTGTTCAAATTTTTTAGGATTTGTGGTGCAGAGCATCTTTGTTCCTCCATCCTTGAGCCCTATAATAGAAAAATATATTAAAAATAAATGTTAAATTTAGACTATACTACACATTACTTGCCAATAAAAAGGCAAATATACATATGTGTGAAATACATAACTTCAATTGATCAAACATGCGGTGCCAACCTGGACTCTTGAAACTAAATAGCATAAATATCTTTCATCCATTTCAGCAGGAGTTACTCTTGATATGGTGCCTCTGTTCTGTATTCCTGGTAATGATGGAAGAAACATACGCTGGTCATCAAGTCGTCTGCCCTGGGAGTTTGCGACCAAACTGAAGAGTTTCTCATCATCTAGTAAAGAAAAAAATTAAACCCAGATTTTAACATCAAATATGTACTAGATTACATCAACATATCTGATCAAAAGTGGTTTTTAAGTCAAAGAAGAATTATGCCTCTAACCTTGTGGCGTTGTGCTTCGAGTGAGTTTGGAACTGTGCAACCCTTGAGGATCATCATTTAACGCACTTCGTTGTTTCTCTTTATTTTTTGGATTTACATCTGAGTTTATGCTGAAGGAGGCTGAGCGCGCTGTACCCGAAGCAGGTGATAATTTTGAATTATTTTCATAAATATGGGCCTGTGGACCTTGATGCTGAGGCAGGCAACACTTTTGGTCATCCATCCTGGAACCCTGAAGTTAGAGCAGGAATTATTTTTTAAAAATTATCCGGCAGAATTTTAGGTTTCATAGCCACAATAAAAACAGATTTTCCTTTAGAAAATAAACAAATACATTATTAAACATATTGGGTAATATGTTTGATAGAGAACATGTGGTGGTGTTTTTTTTTGTTTTTTTTTTTAATAACAATGGTGAAAATATTTTCACCATTGTGAAAATTTACTGACCTGGGCTTTTGAGACCATCTGAAACAAGCAGCTTGAATCTCCTTTATTGTAACCAATTTCATTCTGTGATGCTGATAATGATGAAAGTGATACTCGCTGGTCATCTAGCCGTCCACTTTGAGCTCGTGTCAAAATGTTAAAAAAAAAATCCCGATCTGATGATAAAATTCAACATATGTAAGTTTTTCTAAACACTACCTTACATAAATAAAAAAAAACTGTATTAATATTGAAAGTTTGTGCTCTTTTTCAGTATTGGTTTATGAATTTGAGGAAGGTTTGAAAGTTTGGGTCGACAGGGAGTACCTGCGTTAGGACTCAAAACGCAGCTCTGGTCCTCTATACGTCCACGCTGGCCATGAGTGATCATACTGAGAAACTTTTGCTGTTCTTCTGGTGATTCTTCCTTTTTTATTTATGTGAAAAGATTGGGGGGAAAGGTCAATATGAACATTTAATTATGCAACACTAAAGAATAGTAGAAATTTCATATATTTTACACCAATCATTTCTTAGAACAGACCCTTAAAGAATTGGAGCGTTGACGCTGAGAAGGAACTTGTAACTGATTTACAGGAGCCACTTGACGCTTTTTGTCGATAACTGGAGTACTCTGTGTCACAGAGATCAAAGGGTTTGCACCAAGGTCATTTTTACTATCTGATGCCTAGAAAAACAAGAAACAATTTTAGTAGTAGTCAGTAATTAACTCAAAACAAGCAGGTCCACATATTCAACTCTTTCTATGTTCTAGTCTATGTCCTGGTAGTTAAACAAACAATGAGAGCTGTAAGTAAAATATTTTTTGTCTACCATCTAATGTATGGATAAAAATGGTTTGGGGAAAGCCAGAAGAAAAGATACTCAATTCAAAAACTAACAAGGATTTAAGTTATTATCCCCGTTATTAGTCAGTCCAGCTCCAAAAAGAATGTTGAAGATAGACATTAAATGGCAACACAATTAAAATAAATAAGGTTTGAACTGTAAACTTCAGTTACGGTTTTACAGAGTACTCTGTGTAGAAGTAAAAGAGTACCTTAAGCAAGAACTTTGCAGAAAGAGTCAAATAAAAAAAATACTGCTAACGCACAATTATACTTGGATTGCCACAGATGTCTTACCTCAGTATCAGTAGCTTCTGATTTGAACTTAATTCCAGCAGATGTCATCTTGTAAAAATTAAAAGGCGAAAAAAATGTGATTGCGAGGAAAGATATGAATAAAATAAACTGCTATTCAAAAAGAAGATTCCAACTGATGCTCCTCCAAATGCTTGCTGAACATGACATGGTAAAGTGGTTCTGAGTCCTGAGTATTAACCCGTCATTAAGAGTCAAGCCAGCCCTCCTTTCTTAATATCACCATTTATAATCCTGGATAAAAACATAATCCTGACCATAGAGCAGGATGATCTCTTTTCATTAGAGATGTACACATTCTTCATTTTGATCCGCCATTTTACTTAAACTTGATGTTTGCTCTATTTGAAGCAATTAAAGTCACTATTATGATACTTGCATGTCAAACCAATAAAACTGACGTGAAGTATACACAACACCTCTTGTCCTTTTGTCCATTTTTGCAGGTTTTATTTCCCAAATTGCAAGCAGATCTTAATATTAGAAGAAAACATGAGGGAAACTATGTTACAAAAACAAAGTATCAAACAGGCAAATTAAATATAGAAATTATATTTTACTCATATGGTCAAAGACTGAAAATATTACTCAAAGGATTTTGGCTAACATCAGATCATCTAAAATGTCCAGGAATTAAAAGAAAAAAAAACAACATTTGAAAGTTTTATTTTTATTGAATAGAGACACAAAATACCCACTCTACACGTTTCCAGCAATATATTAATTTAGTCATGCAATACTTCAAAAATATTTTATTACAGCAGTTGAGATTCTAAGATACAATTACCTACATATGAAAACAACCCTAGCAGCCTTCAGTCTTTTTCATTCATTACTTTAACTGTCATCCCAGAAAATCACAATTTCACTAATTGCATCATCTGATATACAAGTAACCATCTTGGCAAACCGAACAAGATTTTTGGTTGATAATAGGTTAATCAAAATACATGCATCTATATAAATATTTCTTACACATCTAGTCGCTAGAACAAAAGCGTTTAATCCAGGCAAAAATACATCCAAAATAAAATAAGAGTAAGTTAAAGAATAAGCCATTTCCTTCCACAGTTACATCCATAGGTTCTCTTCATATTCAAATTAAGTTAATACAATATCAAAGACAGCACACCAGAAACCAGTTAAATGAAAAACCTTTCCTTTATATCTTGTGCTTTTACCTACTTGGGGCCTAAAAAATGAATTGGAAATTTATTCCAGACCCTTCAAGTCATTAAGGAAGGTGGTTGGAGTCAAGATGTGAGAGGATCCTATCAAGACAAAAAAATGTAAACATTGATAATTAGAAAAAACTGGGAACTTTATTCCGGAAAGAGCTTTGAGAATTACAACTGAAAAACAAAAAACTTCTCTCACCGATAAGCACTTCCCATTTTCCATCAGTGCTTCGAGTGACTTCATAAGCAGAACGCATCTCTGAGTGCGACACCCCTCCAACCACAAAAACAATCAAACGAGGACCGGAGCGATATTCTGTTGGAGTCTTATTTTTGTGCCAGTTTCCAAAACGTGCACTGCTGTAGGAGACATGACACTAGTGTCATTACTTACAAAATAATGCAAAGTTAGCACTTTTAATGGACTTTCAATACAACTTTTGAGAGCAACTTTGCATTAAAAGTGTTATTATTTACCAAATGACACTTCATGGTACCGGTCATAGACATTCATAAAGATTCCATGTTTATGAGAGTGTCATGTTTTTTTGACAGGCACACCCTCAGTTTTTTTTTTTTTCTGTTGGGCTTAAACATGTTGCATAATGATTATTTATGCATTATGATAATCTTTTTCATAATGGTCCTCCACTCAAAAATTCAACCCATCTTGTCTGGTTTTGCACAACCACTATAAGATGGAGTTACTTATATTTAATGTTGCACTTTGCTTAAAAGGAAGCAAGAAAACATTGTGCATTAGACAGATTATGAACAAAACACAGACGATCGTTTGCAGACGAAGCCTCATCATAATGGGAATTCCCTAGGGGATTGCAGTGCGTTCAAAGTAAAGCCGACCTATTTTCGGCTTTTTAACTTCAACTTAATCTGTCAGAAGCTTGGCTCCAATTTAGTTACAGGGATAAAAGCTTTCATTGGACATTACCCGATATATGCTTTAATTTAAAACATGTCAGTCATTTTTTGTTATGCCCATGCAAATTCTGTCTTGTATACTTTAAAATGTTTGTGTTGGATCTACCTGACCGCAGTCTGAGTCGTGTTGATTGGTGCTGGATTAGAGATGAAGGGCCACTGTTTCTTATCCAGTTTGTCTTCTATAGCATTCTGCAAATACAGAAGCACAAAGTGTGTCAAGTGCAGAAATCAATTTAGGTCGACAAAATCTAAAATGGAACTTAATCATTAATACCTCCATGATGTCCTTGATGGTGGGTGCCCATCTAGAAAGTTGGTAGGTACTCTCTTTTCGTTCCTTCCGCTCTGGCAGCATGTTGCCAGCATTGCGGCCCTGGCAGAAAAAAATTTATGTTAAACAAATAAAGAGGGCGTACAATATCAGTAACAGTAGTATGAAAACTTGAACATAACAGCTCAATTACATTAAGAAATTTACCCCGGTTATAATGTTACAGCCAAGGTTTTGTATGTTGTAGATAACTTTGCTGTCTTCTGGTGTTATGTTGGCATGCTGGATGAGCTTGGTAAGGATCTCCTGCCCAATGCCTAAAGATATTGACTCAGTTGTGAATGTAGTTAAAACGTTTTTAGCATTTTATATACTATATATTATTCTTCAAGGAAAAAATATATAGCAGACACCAGTTAGCACATTAAGAGTTAAGTAGTGTCCATTCAAAATGATTGCATAATTTAAAACATAATATGACATACCTTTTTTCTTGTGGAAAATGAACAGCAGAATGATGCGGATTTTGTCATAAGCCCCAATTTCATTGTCGAGCAGAACAGGAACAATGCTCTTCATGGCATCTTTTAGAGCTTCCCCCTCTGCATTTTCTCCCATTACCAGGTCCTGGGGAAAACAGTCTTAGTTAGCTACTGACTGCAACTGAAAAATATGAATCATTAACTCAAGTTAGCTGACAGTGAACAGAAAAGCAGCTGACATAACAGCCTGCTCCTCTTCTTTTTTCTCAATACATTTTTTGTGATCCTGTTGACTGTTTGCAATAAGACATTTGATGGTCCTGTGATCAAGCCTCAATATCTCAGCAATTTTAAGAGTACTCTATCCCTCAGAAACCTTTGGTCATTCTAGTCAAATCTCTTTTTTAACCCATTCTGCCTAAAGAAATGAAGCTGCCTAATATATAAGCACATCTTGATATAGACACACATCTTCTACCATGCTTAACTCCAATAAGCATTCAAGTCTAGCTTAAAGTTAGAACAAATGCCTAAAAAAAGATATGATCAAAATACACCCTTGCATAATAATGTGCACACGATGTATTAAATAATGATCAGCAACATTGCATTAGACATTTAATTATGGTCGCCTAACACTTTAAACAAATGACAGCTGAAAGAACTACTGGTGTTTGGACCACACAAACCATCTCAGAGCCAAAACATGCCCACAGGATTAAAGAGACAGCTTTCAGAGATGCTGACAATCCATTAGAGTGCAGATGAGTGATGTGCTCATACAAAAGCACCCATTAACACTTGTATCCCATAATACTACAAGCATGCCTTGATCTTCATTTCCTGTGTGCTTGAGATTCATCTGACATAGTACTAAATGTTGCAGGGCACATCCCTTCTGGAAGTAGGTCTGGCACAAAACAAAACACAATGAGCTCAACACTTGTGTGGACTGTGGCTTCCCCTAGTGCTACAACTGGCTGGCAAATGAATATAGCAGAACGTATTACATGTGTACTAAATTCCTATCAACATTTCTGTAGATAGATGGATGTCTATTGCTGCTCCCACACTTTTTATGCAATGCTCGGATCATAATTTACTACTAAACATCACCGGCCAGTAACAATCACATTTGACAATATCTAGGAAAGCTAAAGTGGGGGAAAAAAAGAAAAAAAAGGAAACAGTGACAAGCTGAAGTCAAATATTGTACAGAATAGTCTAATTGACTCTCAGTTATTGTCAGTGTAACTAAGAAGCCGTAGCCAGTCTCTGTAGCCAAAAGATTCAGACTGAGATTAACCTTTAGAACTAACTCCAATAACATTTGTGTTTACATTGAAAATACATACAATAGCAACAATGGCTATAATAATGTTGAAGACAGTTAAAAATGCTCAGTATCTACTGAACACTCCATACTGACCTGCTCCACTTCACAGAGTTTATCAAGAGATGATTTGAATTTGGTCATGCAGGCTTCAGCTAGGTGCAAATGAGTAGAGTACTGTGAAAGAAATGGGGTAAAAAAAATAACTTGATTAAAGAAATGTAGAATATATTTAATGACCCAAGCAACATTTAATTTTACCATGACAGAAAAGCATCCTGAAATAGCTCAACTAAGCAGTGTTTCAGAAATACCAACACTTGATCAACTGCCATTGTATTTGCAACTGATCAACATAAAAATATGACAAAGCAAAGAAGCAGCTTGTTGAATGAGATTGTCATTCCTGAAGATGAAGAAAACAAGCACAAACTATGATCAGCATTCTTCATTTTTATTTATTTACTAGCTACAAATTCTCCTAACTTTATAAAGATACTAAAAAAAAAGTTTAAAACTTCTCACCATGCTGAGTTCCTTCTGATACTGTGGCATCTTCTTTAACATCTGAGAAAGGTCTTTAATATTGGCCTGAAATACAAAAAAAGTGACAATTATAAACTTTTCATTATACAATTGCCAATCTCTTATTGACAACTTTCTCCAATATAAATTTGTAATAAATAAGGAAGCAACATGCACTTACATTATCAGTAGACATTCTCTTGCTTTCGCAAAAGGTGCGAAGTAGTTCTGTCACTTTCCTGGAATAATGGGTTAATATGTAATCAAAATATTAATAATGTGCAATCATGCTTTAATATTTTGCATTAACGCAAATATCCTAAAGTCTTAAACACTAAACTGTAATTAAATGTTTTGTGAAATTTTTTCTGTCTCTCGCTGCTGCAATTATTATTATGTACAGAAGCATTAAGGAAGGCGGCTTAAAAATTTACTCC